ACAGAGAGAGAGAGAGAGAGAGAGAGAGAGAGAGAGAGAGAGAGTGACAGACAGACAGAGACAGAGCCAGAGCCAGAGACAGAGAGAGGAAGACAGACAGAGAGACAGACAGAGAGAGAGAGTCAGGAAAAGAAGCAGAGGGAAAGTGCGACAGAGAGGGTAGGGCATCCGGTGGAATCGCCATCCACAGAAAAGTATGTAGACTAGACACAGGATGAGTATGGACCCAGGTGCACCATTGGTCTGATCTCAAGTCTGCCTTTGCACCCTCGCGACAAGAGATATTGCCTACTTCAGCTGAGGGATTCTTCAGGAGACGCTAAACCTGATCCATCACTGAACATGTTGGACTGGGTACGCCAATGCTCACTCTCGGAATACAATATCCGTGGACGAACTTGCTCAGCAGGGGCAGGAGGTGCGCGATGGAAAGCTAGACTATGGACGAACGCCCCAAGATGACCATGAGCGGGTACAGCAGCGAAGACAGCTTGGTTTATGTCCCATTTTCGGCTCGGATGGGGCGTACCTTGTGATTCGATATCGTGCTCTCGGAAGGCAGCAGTACTTGCCCATTTGTCCATAAATAAGGTTCCCGGAATATTGTCGTTCTTGTTCTGGTTCTGTTGTGCACACCTCCAGTGCCCACCTAGCCTTCCACCGTGCAGCAACCTAGCGCTAACGGTGCACAGCAACCTAGCCCTGCAGCAATAGCCCTACAACCTAGCCCCCAACGCTCTTGCGCCGCGGCTTCGCCTAAACGGTGCAGCAGCAGCCTAGAACGTTAACTCGCTAAACAGCAACCTAGCTTTTCGCCCATGTAGCAACGTAGCGCTGACGGTGCACAACAACCTAGCGCTGCGGACAGCAACCTAGTTAGCGCCGCGTCTTGCCGCGGCCTAGGCTTGCTTGTGGTACAGTGACCTAGCACTTTCCCAATGCTATAGGTTTGGATCGGGTCGGTTGGGTTGGGGTTAGGGATAGGGCTACATGGCTATATGCTAGCTTTGGTGCTGTGCAAAAAAAAGTGCAGCAGTAGCAACGGGTCGAACCAGCAACCGGTAGCTACGAAAGAAACGCACCATTCATCGGGGCATAATTTTTCCGCCGTCCTCCCCGCCCACCCAACAGTCGATCCTCGGGCTATAAACTGCTTGCTGTTGCAAACGGGAAGTTTCGAGAACTTCATTTTCTCGTCAAAGGGCTAAGCACCGCTCCTAAAGGTGGACAGGACTCGCCGAAACACAAACAATAGGTCCATCGTGCTTTTGCTGCCATTATGTTTCAGGTCAGGACAAATTCCGCACGTCCTGCTTGAGCGGGTTGCATGTCTGTTGTTCCTCTATAGTTTGAACATGATCTCTTCTATGTGGTGGCTAACTCTGGGGTAGAACAAGGCGGCGATAGACACCTGATGTCATGCTCGCTCACAGCAAGACTTACTTGCTGCCTTGCTATGTCCCGTCCGCTTCACCCGTGCTAAACATTTCCCACTTGTTCACTGGTCTTCCTGCTGGTATTGAGGATCTGTTCTATACGGGTGCGGTGTTCTTTGTGACGTAGTGGTCGAGGTTGCTACCTGACCCCTTACTTATCGGACACAATACTGCCCACTTTGACAATTCCAGACGGCGGGCACAAAATCATCCTACACTTCGCTGGCGTAGTGATGAGCTAGCCTTTTTCGGTAAACCACCGGTTCTCTGCGTGGTTGCACGACTCTCGTGTCCGGCGTTCCGATCCAGGAAAGGACACATCACAAATAGCACGACCTCCGCTCACCATAGTGTGTGTGGTCGATGAAAAACCGTTATCCGTGTCCTTGGAGCACCCTTTCGATGCTCTTCGTGATTGCCGGTCCTGAGCAGTAGTCACGAAACAACGTGTGTACTTGTTGGTGTCGCTGGAAGCTGCGAACAGGACAACCAAGAGTACAAGTCCAGTTATTGTTGAAGTTCAAGGTGATTGCCCTGTCCCCGGCACCCTTTCAAAAGCATCGTGATGGGATGATGCCTAAAGTCTCATAAGACACAAGAGAGGGTGGGAGAAGCAATTGAATGGACGTTCGCTCCGACTAAGCTCTGGTCAACAACTCCGCGCCAGAGAAGCCCGATGCCAACAAAACTTGAGGGCATGAAGTGTTCCCCCCTAACAAAATCAATCTGCTTTCAGGCAATCCAACGCGGGCGGCTCACTCGCGTGGTTTGAACCATCGAAAGGTGTAGTCGGCAACTTGGCGAACGCATTCACTCGTAAATTCTGCGATGAACTGCGGTGCCACTGCTGTAGTCTATTGCGGGGTTTGCAGACTACGCGGCGTATTTTGAAGTATTGGAGCAACGATCTTTCCGCGCACGACACAGTTTTTCCCGCCGGATACGTAGGACGCAGACTCGGCAAGGAGGGCGTTCTGCACACGATCTGAAACACACCTCGTTTTCGACGTACACACTCAATAGCAGTGCACGGCAGTCTACAATAACAAGACCTACGTCAATAGATGACCGTCGGTTGAAGTTGCAATACGGATTTGTTTTGGTTCCGATTCGTTCGACTGGGACTGACTCTTTCAGTCCTCCGTTCTTCGGTTGGCATTACCGATTCTTCAGAACTACAGGAAGGACCTCAACACACTCCTTTTAACGTCCTCTCGGATCGATGATCCTATACTTATGAAGATGTGAAGATTTACTCATGTCCAAGCACACGTGTCGTGGTAGCGCATACGACGGTAGGGCAGGAGATGCGGAGAAACTGCGCAACGATAATCCTCCCATTTTGGAACCAAACGTGGCGGTGTGCAATCCCTCGCCGCAGACCATAAAGCGTGGTGCAATGGGCGCACGACAGTGAGACTCGCCTGACTTTCTCTGGCCTCCCGTATTTGATCTTCCCCTCGCTCGGCTCGTCTGCGTCTGTGGGCCCTGACGGGGGGGTGCCGCATCGACCACGGCACATGGAGGACGGTGGGTGATTAGACTATGGAACCAAAAGTGCATTTGGTTCCGCTCCACTACGTGTCCCCCCTCGGCAGGTTGAACAAGTCGGCAAGTTATGGCGCTCCGCGAGAAGTGCGATTTGGTGCGATTGATCATGCAATCCATGTACACGTCGTTGTCTGCGCGTCGTGCTGCAACATGTACCCACATGGCTGACTGCACCAGAAGGGTGTACTGCGGTACCGAAGGGGCAAAGGAGGTGGAGTACTTCAGCCAGCACGGCAGGAAGGAACGATGAACATCGCGGACAGGAGCTGCGGCCACCTAGGTTGCACAAGCTGCTACCCACAACGATATACGCGACAGAGGCAGAGTACCGTGTTCGGCACACCAGACTGCAGATGGCGTGCGCGAAGTCCGACCGGCCCACCTCAACAAAGATGTAAGAGGGGCCGTCGGAAGGCATGGACGGGGTGTTTGGGCATCGTTTGTACGGTAACGCGAACGGTCAAAAGGAGGGCGCTATTGGATAAAGGCTGACCATTTGACTACGTGCACAGTCATCGATGACTGTGCACGTAGTCAAATGGTCAGCCTTTATCCAATAAAAGATACACTCTCGGCTCGTAGCCAATCCCAGTGGATCTGATAGGGTGTAGTGATCTCCGGGGACGGACCCCTCGCCACAAGATGCTGCTATTAGCCGATAATGGTGCCTTGAAAGCGATCCACTGGGATTCGAACCCGTGCGTGAATCCTTTATTGGATAAAGGCTGACCATTTGACTACGTGTACATCGTATCCCAACGAAAAACAAACGACCGCGCTGTTGGTGCTGCCTCACGACTTACGACAGCCCTCTGTTTACCACTTCGTAACATGAGTCTCTCTGGGTCAGTGCACTGATCACTTGAAAGCTGAGGGAATCTAAAAAATCGCACAGCGCAAAGAACGCGTCACACGTGGCCAGTGGGCACGGTTGTACGGGGGCATTGTGTAACCTCCGGCCAACCAGGGGTTATTACATGGGATAACGTGGGGGGGTTACAGGCCGAGCGAGCATAACGTACCAGGTTATGAAAGCGGTCGTGCGCGGATTGGTGTGAATGAAGGAGGAGAAAAGAAAAAACTATGTGTGAGCCTTCCCTTCCATTGCTACATTGTATTCAACCCGTATTTGTGTTATAGTCACGCAATACCTCGCTTGGCATTGTTCTAGACTACGTCGGATTAATCGGTGAAGGAATCATAACATGGGGTGGATCGACCCAGCAACATGTGCCTGCAAAGTCTATCGGTTGATCGCTACGCTACATGTTGAAGCCTATGACTGTTGTACCAAATTCTATGCTTTTATAGTAGGGGCGGAAACAATGGTGGCAAACACCACCCACGCGGCCGATAAGAGCACACATATACTATGCGGTCCCCCCAACGCTAAAAAAAAGCAGAACTCCGTGTGAAGTCCTCCATTACGAATCGTTCAATGGCAAGTTTTTGTTCAACTAAGTTTTTATGTTCCACAGCGGCAACAACATATAATATACGAAGTATATAATTTTTTAACAATGCTGAGCGCGCAATTGTTTTCAGCAGAGATCATATTAATATGTAAAATACTACATTCGACCACTATTTATTATTGTATATATTTTTAAGGAGACAGACGTACGTACGTGTTGTCGTATTGACTTTTACGAGAGAGGCAGCGTGTGTAGGTAGTATATCATCGCCTATTCTATCTCTCTTTTTCTCGGTCTTTGCTTTGCCCCCCAATCGTTGCCGTGCGTGTTTCTACGCAACAATATATATATCAAATAGAGTAGGCCCATGTCTGTCTATGTTGCTTCCGGCACTACATCATGATAATCAGAACATGAAGATGGCGCTCGCACTAAAGAACTTGGCAGTTAAGAAGTGCGGCCTCGAAAAAAGTCAAAATCAAAGAAATTGTCGACAAATTAATGAGTAGTTACGACACACGTGCGTGCGTGCTCAGGCCCGACGTGGTGTTAAGAACAAGAACGAACCCGCATTTCTTTGTAGCGTAAGAACAGAGCCCCGAAAACGCGACAGCTGCAAGATATAATGAGCACTCACGAAGGGGTGAGGGGCTACTCGCGGGGTGGACGGTGGACAGTTAGTTGTAGATCAGCGGCGAGGAGGAGGTTCCTTTGAAAATAGTACTGGTGGTGCGGAGATGGGGGGGGTGTAGTGTTTTTATTTTTGCGCTTCCAACGGTCGTCAACCATAAAAAAATCGGTCTTATAAATGCCGGCACTCTTGAAGTTTTGTTTTTCTATCTATGCCGCGAATGTCCGATAAATCGGTGTGTCGTGTACTCTGTGGACACCGGCTGGTACATAGGTTTCGCGGCAAGGCATGGACATTCTCGGGCTTGGACAACCTCGCCTGCAACCAAGCACGGATACAATTTTCCCTTAACTGGGTTTGGACCGGCGTTTCGGAACCCTGCCTAACCTTGGAGGTTGGTAAAGGTGCGCCCGACCGGGTTACGCAGGTTGCACAACGCCTGGGGGTTACATGTCACGTTAACCCCCCCGTAACCGTGCCCACTGGCCACCTGTGCGTGCTCGGTTTACATCGTATTCGTCTAGTGCTAGTCTCTAAGCGCCCGAGAGCTCGTCGGAGTGTGGCTCAGTTCCGTCCGAGAGATTCGTCTGCAGGATGTAGACTATCAACGCCGTTCAAAACAGAGCGTGATTGATTTGTTCACATTATAAAATTGAGTGCGTACAGAAATGTACATTTATTTTTGTTGTTAAAGTCGAATATGTGTAGCTCGTACCCTTAGGCCCTAGCTGTCGTCCGTAGCGTCTGACCTAGATCCTAGAATGCGATTTGTTTTGTCCTGTTTGCTGTACGTGGATGAGTCGGTCGTGTTTCATTGCGAGGTTATGCTGAATTACGAGGGGATGTGCGGTCCTCTTAAACGTCATCTCTGGCATATGAGCCCTATGCGCCACGCGATGTGGTGCTGTGATGCACCGAAGGACCCCAACAGTGAGGGTTTCATGTCCATTACTCAAGCAAGCAACATGGTATGACACACGGATAGGCATCACGATTTCGCTAAGCCCAATAATTTTCTCTCAATGCTCGCGTTCCTTCGTCATTTTCTAAACTTTCGCCCGACGGGGAGAGTTGCCCCCCCACGGCTACGTAAGTGTCCTATGATCTTTGCGGTAGAAAAGACACCGGAACTTGCCGGCAGAATTTACTTCTTTGCGGCTACCTCCAGAGGCCTCTCATCGTTCAAATTGGAGAAATTGCTCCCGCGGGGGAAGGTCGATATTGCACGTCGGAACAACCGCATGTATGTCCCCTGGTTGTGTTTGTGTGTGTCTTTTTCACTTGCATCGACCGCGCTAACCGGCTGATTAATGAAAGGATGTCAGTCTCCGTGCGATGCAGAACACAAAATGTTTCTATAGGCCACGATCTGGGATGCTGCGACCAAGCGTCATGGAGGAGACTACGCTACTCCTCGGATTGAAGTTAGATATCGCAGCAATAACAGAAGAAAGCTGCACGCGCTTTCTATCTGCATCTACTTGGATGTGTGTGCTCGTCCCATCTACTCTGGCGCCGGTTCACAGTGGGTCTTTCGGCGTGTATACCTGACGTGTCAGTCGGATCACACAAGAGTGAGTTGGGAATACAATAACTCTTTGATCTCACAGTTGACCGCAACATGGCGAGCTACAGTAGCGCGTCGCGTCTGACGTTCCGCCTGGGTTGTTTTTGTGCTTCCTATAACCCCGTCTACTGAAAGAACGAACCTGATATGCTGAGTTGCTTTTACGCTGTTTGGTAGAAAGGAGTATTTTGCTTGTTCCCAAGTTAATAGAAGCAGCCTTTGGAAAACCACCATTGCCAGCAAGCACCAGGGGCTCACGGCATGGTGTTACCGCATACGTGAGTATTTCAGTAGTTGGCGTCGACCACGCTGGCCAGCTGCCCAACTAGCTGGCATGATAATCGTTTTGATTGTGTTTATACTTGTTGGTGGGCATCGATCGCTATCTAGCCGGATGCCTAATGAGCATGCATCCAGTTTCGTCAGCCTACCCACGTGTTTCTAACAATATCGGCCTCGCAATCGGAAAGACAACTGAAACTGCACTAGTCTTGGAGGAAGAGAAGTTGCGAGAGCATTTTCGAAGAGCACGTGCCTGCTTGTTGCTCTTCGGCTCGTGGCTATCCCTGCCATGTTTTGTCTTCGCTGTCGCTATCCTAGCAGCCGCACGAAGCGAAACCAAATGCTTCTAGCACACAAGAAGATGAGCGAATATACTGGGGCACGGTAACGAGCTCAATGTATTTCTTTGAGAATGCAGTAGTGCAGGCGACCTGATCGCTTTCGAGATCCGGTATTCATTTTACGCTGGAGCCCGAGGAGATACGTTTGGCCCCCGCCCGTAAAACGTTGTTCAGAAATGCCCGTCGTTCATTGAACTTGCACTTCCCGATGCAGCTGAATAGAACGAAGCAAGCTTGCACCGAATACAATCCTGCGTGGATTTGTTCGTAGGTATTCGAAACAATTAATTTGTGTTGCCCTCATTCAGATCCATGCATCGTCTGTTATCGGGTGATGTCACTGACACCCCTTCATGTCTCCGTTTTGTGGTTTCGGTATTCAAGCCAGGCCCTCCTACACTTGGCCCAAGGTGGCCTCATGACTGCCTGGTGTTGTTTTCGTCGCTGGGATTGTGCTTGCATAGCTTCAGCCGAGCTCTTGTGGGTTGCCACACCCTTCACTCTTGTCCTTCTTTCTCAAGCCTGCGTATCTCTCCCGATCAAAGCGGCATCCTTCTCTGTTGGGAGCCCTTTATCGTTTCACGGACAATGTTCCGCAGTGACTTCAGTGTTTGCTCTGGGATCCCCCTCTTCCCCCGGTCGAGGTTGGCTTAGGGGATGCGAGCAGCCGGCAGAACGGGAGGCTTTGAAGCGTACCTGCAAGGGGGCGGTAATGAGAGAGTCTTGGGGTTGGTTGGAAACGACTCAGTCCTTTAAGCGCCTACGCTTCGGTAACGAAAACAGAGCTGATGCAAGGCAGGTTTTCTCACACCAGTTTGACGGACGTACCCCCGAGCCGGTCGCCCAAATGGTCAGTTGGTTTGCCTAGATAAAGTACAATGGATTTCGATTTTCTCGCTGGAGCAAAAAACATGTTTGCAGTTTCCGGTGGACAACGATAAATCTATGAGAGAGAGTACACGACATGTCCACTTCACGGTCGACGAGGGAAAGGGACGTCTTGTCGCTATGAAAACTGTGACAAGCACCACGGGAGAAAACGTGGGGCATCAAAGCAACAGAACCAGCATGAACTCCTGTGTGACCTCCCTCCTCCGTGACCCTGGCTGATACGTGAAACACATACACACGTCGAAAGGTGCATCGACAGGCATAAGA